ATGAAAGTTAATTTAAACATTTTGGTCACCTAAAAATGTTAGGTTGTCCTGAAAGACACTCTAAGGAGGCAGGTGTACATTTTGTTTTGAGTCTGTTTTTCAAAATTAGCATCCCAATTAATGTCACAGTTACTGTGAATTACTTTTATTACTGTTGCCTTACTAACCAAGCTAGCTAGCTCTGCCCTCTCATCCAAATTCAGTCACTTCTGGTTCTAAAAAAACAAGACGGCGACAGCCGAAATGCCAAACTCAAGGTCACAGAGGCTACATCCACTATGGTTTTAACTTATGAACAGCAGCTCCAGGTCATTAGTGAAACATAATTGTGATTTAAAGTAGGGTTGTTACATTAATAATACAGCTGAAACATCACTAATCAATACGAGCCATCCACACGTCATATATAATAGCGGTCTCTTCCTCTTCCTTTTGTGCAGCAGTTATATAGCTAGCTCACACTCCAGTTAGTCACAGTCTCTGCCATCACCGCTCTGTCTCTCTGAGGGATTAGCAGTAGCACTGGCCACTACTCTAATCCTTTCCTCAACAGACCTACTCTAATATTCACACACACACACACACACACACACACACACACAGCCAGATGCAGGCTTTTCAATGACTGCAACTATTTGCCATTTCTCGCCTTGCTAATCTGTTAACTAGCTATTACAGCACTTATGTGCAGTGCTGTTGTTCATGTCATGGTAGCTTGTTCAACACATCAACCAAAATTAAAAGAAAAAGCCCATTCTAGTTTTATTACATTTTCTTCCTTTTCTTGCTTTGTAATCTAAATACTCTATGAGCAAACAGCATACTTGACAAGCCTGCTGAGACGCTATTCAGATGATTGTTTACTGTGTAAACATGGCTTCCATTTGAAGCTACAGCAGGTAATACCAACTGTGCTTTGTCTCATCGCGTGTGTCTAATTAAGAGAATTAAGAGTAAATTTATAGACTTCAATAAGGACTGTGTGATTTGGTCGAAGGCTCTAAAAATATATATATATATAAAATCAGTAAATGGGTCCTCTGCAAACATGCTTTACGCATGCTGTCCTCTCTCTCTCCTACATAAACACATACATGTCCTGCCACATGCGGTGCACTTTTGATGTTTTGACGCTGTGTACAACAAGCATTACTCATACCATATACTCATATATAAATTATGAAAAATAACATGTAGGCTATATCAGGATGATATAGACATCCCAAATCGATCCATAAAATGTGAATAGTCACTGGTTTTCTTAGTCTTCTGTGATAGTAAGCTGATTATCTTTGGTTTTTGAAATGTTGGTCAGACGATTAATAAAATTAAAAGAATCAACAGGTTAATTGATGATGGAAGTTGCAGCCCATGTCTCATATAATTATACTGATATTATATCAATACACTGCATCTAGTGATCAAGAGCACTGTGAATCTTTCCATTGTTTCTACTTTAATCCCATGTGTCATTCGAGCCAATCGAGGAGGACTGGTGCCCTATGCTTTGAGAAGCTAGAGGCTGATCCAGGATCAGAGTGGCAGGTGACCACGGGGGGAAATTACCTGCCAACCCGCAAACATGCTGTGACATCACTCTAAGGAGGTCATGGTAATCAGATTATCCCCATTACACAGACACACTCACAACTGTGGGTCTGACCGACAGCAACACTCAGCAGGTTAAAACACTCTCGCACATGTAGGCGGACACACCTAAAAAAAACCCAACTTTAATTTGGCTGGGATAAAATTAGATGAAAGCATGCGAGTGAGCCAAAAATAAAATCCTCTGTGTTTTGTGAAATGTTTGTGAAGTTTTGAACACACACTGACTCTGTGAGCAGTGTCATGTTATGCCTTGATGAATTCTTCTGTGGGAGGATGAGGATTGTTTACAGTGCGCAGGAGCCGGCTGATGGAAGACAGAGGAGAGGCTCGGGGGCCTGAGCTGCTCAGTAACCGCAGTGATGCCAAGTGGTCGGCGGACTGAAGAGGACACCTGAGACCAGCGCACCTGGACAATGAGCTGAGATGTAACCCTAAACTGAGATGAACCGCTGTTTATCCCCGCGCTCTCCTTCTCATGCTCTTTCCCATCAGTCTCCTTTCTCGCTCGATACTTCTCTCTGGTCCCCGATTTTTTTTCTCTCCACAACTTGATCTATTCCACTCTATTATTGTTATTCTCCCAGTGGTGGAAAGTAACTAAGTACTTTTACTCAAGTAAGGTACTTAAGTACAATTTTGAGGTACTCCACTACATTTCAGAGGGAAATTTTGTACTTTTTTACTACGTTACCTTTATTTTTGATATCTTTACAATACTTGTATGCAGATTTAGATTATTAATTATTAACTAATACAAAATATAAATCAATTAATAAATTATAAGGTATTACTATAGGACCCGCGGTGTATGTAGATAGAAGTGTCTCATTCTAAGGTAATAAAAACATAAAAGGTTCGTAATGTAAGGTCTTTATACACCACTGAAAACATTGTTATGGATATTATGTTGCATTACTGTAAATAGATCCTCCTAAATATTACACACTGAACCTTTAAGTAACATTTTAAATGCATGACCTTTACTTGTAACTATCTTTACACTCTAGTATAGCTTCTTTTACTTAAGTAAAGCTCTGAATACTTCGTCCACCACTGTATTCTCCCAATCTTTTGACTCAATACCTCTCTCCTCTGCCTCTCTCTCACTTACATCCCATGCTTTACCCTTATGTGCCAGGCTAATGCAAACATCCCTCACAGACTAATCACATACTTAACAAGTAGCCCCCACAAATTTTCAGCAGTATTCATCATTCAAGGGGGAAACAGGGCCCAAGTCCTTCCTGAAACATTCCCACAATTCTTGCTTCATGCTGTTTCCACACAGACAATACTCTAAATTGGGAGACTGACATTTTGGGCAATAATTGACAGCAGCTAGCAGCTATATGACTCAGTGACACAGAAGCACTGCCCGTGTCACCATGGAACGGCAGTATTATGGTGTTGTTGTCAAGGCTCTGCTGTCCAATACGCATCTGATCCCCCATCGTTACTGTTAGAGCCTCACAGGGGAGAAGGGAGAGTAAAGAGATGGGAACAGGGTATGCATGTTTAAGAGAGAGACACGATGGAAAAGTGAGCTACACTTACTTCTGTTGTCTCTCTCTTTAAAGGGCCTTTAGTCAGCATCCTGCACACCACCCATATTTGTACACTCCCTCCTGCATCACTCATGTCACTTGATAAACACACACACTCTGACCTGCATATACACACACACACACACAAATGCACTTAAGATACTCGTTGTGTGTTATTTCTTTGATGCATCAACAACTGTAACTGCGTCTTTAAACAGCAAGTAGCACAAAGGACCAAAAATAGCTCAGTGAGTTGCAGAGCAGAACTGCTCTCCTTGAGGAGGGGAGGAAAGAGGAGGATGAAGAGCAGGAGGAGGTGCAGATAGATAGATAGATAGATAGATACTTTATTTATCCTGAGGGAAATTCAAGAGCTGACAGGGAAAAGATGGCAGAAGAATACCAGCTCTCCAGGACTTAGTCTACCCTGCTGTGTCCAATTTCAGTTAAGTTAGGTTCTCATCAAGTGCCAGCTTTTGGAAGAAACCACTGTTTCAATGACAACATTTGATAATCACATTTCTGTCGTGAAATTATTACGAGAAGGCCTCAAAAAATCCTGATACCATTGTTGCTGTGCACAACATGTTGTGATATTGTTTGCCTATTATTTCCTCCTTGTGTCAAAAACACTGTCACAATAGAGTCGGATTCATATCAGTATCATCACCTGTCTGAACAAAATACTGTTGTTGCACTAATTTGTTCAAAAACAATGAGCGGGGGAGAAAACTACACAGTTGCCAGTTTATTAGGTACACCTAGCTAAAACTAATGCATTCCAATACAACAGTCCTGTCATAAATCCTACATTCATGAAAGTTATAATGCTCAGTTTTTGTTGAAACAAGTTTTGACAATAACTCAAGATCCACTTACTAGCTTTGTCTTGAGCTTTCAACTGCATATCACAGTTCTAATGTTGTAATATTTCAATTGTTCCATTTTGCCTACCAGACAATATTAATGAGGACAGAAAACATATTAGACACAGTTTTCAGAGTAAAGCAATTTAAAATGACCATAAAGTTGAATATACATCTCTTTAAAAGGAGACTCAACAAAAAACTGAACATTACGAGCTTCATGAAGGGAGGATTTAACGCAGGACAGTTGAATAGCATTAGTTTTAGCCAGATGCACCTAATAAACATATTAGACTTACATATGTGCTGCCTCACATATGTACCTGGTGTTTGACCCCACTTTTCCTCTCAGCAGTGTGTTAGATGATACAGATGAGCTTTAAGCTTTTTAACTGACCTTGGAAATTGTACTGAGACAACAAATATCTTAGCACAGGTCTATTGAATGTAAATATTCTGGCGCCTTCAACCACATTCTGGTCACGTGATAACACCCTTACAATCTCCAACCTGTATATGACCACCTGCTATCACGTGTTCACTTTAGGTCACATGATATCGACCGAAACATTTTCATAACAACTGAGCAAACTCCAGTAAAAATTCAATCCATCGACTTTGTGCTAAGAATTGTTTTGTTAAATATAGAGGGGTGTTAGCAACTGCACATGTTTCTAGCCTGACAAAGATCCAGCTCAGGTTTTGCTCAATGTTTTCAAAAAGGTGTTTTTTCTGGCATTAGTGTCTGGTCTCAGTCCCTGCTGCGTTTTGTTCTTGTTGCTCTGTTTTACATACAAAATGGGTTCCGGTTTGATGAGAGAGACCTTCTGGCCCTTTAAATTTTTTGTTGCTTAACCCCCAAGAAAAACTCCTCTTCAGTTCTCATATTATCACCGGTCTTATAAACGTGAATGAATCAGACATTATATAATTTGCTTATTTACACAGAGGACAAGTCACACTTGCTTGCAGTACTTACTGTTGCTGGACTTGAGGTCTCTGTGGATTATTGGTACGAATGCTTTGTTGTGCAGGTAGTCCATCCCTGTGGCAATCTGGACCGCCCAGTTCACCAGGACTCTTGGAGGAACCTTCTTTCCAGCAAGCGCTCGGTTCAGAGCCCCCCCTCTGGCATACTCCATCACCAAGCACAGGTTGGGCTCCCGCAGGCAGACCCCACGGAGAGCGATTATGTTGGGGTGCCGAAGCATCCAGAACAGCCTGGCCTCCTGCCGCACACTCTCTGCTGTGGCACTAATATCTTCATCGGGGTCTTGCCTTGCGGCCTTTACTGCTACTTCTTCTCCTCGCCATACTCCTTTGTACACCTTCCCAAACCCACCAGCTCCAATCACCTCCTCCAGGAACAGTTCTGTGAAGTCTATCTCCACGGGGCAGTCATCCACCCCACCTGCCACCAGCCCTCCTGCAGTCAGTTGCTGGTAGTTGGCAGCGCCCCCCCTCGTGACGTAGTTGCATGGAAAGATACCCACCTTGTCCTGAATCTTGCCTGTCCACCAACCCTCGTCCCCAGACACTTTGGAGTCTTTGGAGAGAACCTCAAGAAGGTCCCCACGCCGCAGGGTTAACTCCTCATCTGCAGTGGCCTCATAGTCGAACACTGCCGTCCAGTAGGGGTTGGGGTTGTGGGCCCCACAGTGGTGATCAGGGTGGGAGTCCGGGGAGCCGGAGGAGGAGATGGTGGAGGAGTTCCAGCTGCTTCCATTTTCCACCTGCACGATGGGGGCTGGACACATCGGCGGCGGAGGGGTCATATTTGGGGGCATGGAGGAGGAAGAGGAGGTAGTTAAGGAGGGCGGGATTAGGCAAGGGGGAGGTGGGGAGCAGCAGCCCCCGCAGCTGGTGCAGGACAGGGGGGCTGCCGTGCTGCTCGCTCTGCCGTATGGGTTCATGAAAGCCTGACTGCTGTTTGACGCTGTAGGTCTGCCCTCTGTCAACTCAGGCACAAAATCCATACAGGGCCCATTGACAGAGACGAGGTGTCCTCGACCACCAGTGGAGGGGAGATGGGATCAGAGGACCAGAGAGCCGCGACTGCTCCCCCCCATCACACAGCTCGCTGTTGAAACTGTGCCAAATCCTGTCACCGGTTGCTCCTGTGGTGTTGCTACGCAGTGTGTAAGTAACATGTATTCCCAAGGCAAGTTCACTCAGGGACAACGTACATCAGGTCGAACAATGACACTCAGCAGGGAATTTCATGAGTGTGGTGCACCGCCCCCCACCCCCCCCCCCCAGAAAACTAATTGATTGTTTCCACAATTCTGTCTTTTAGAAAAAGCTGCCAGACTCTCACAGGAGAGCAGAATATGTGTTTATCTCAGTCTGATGAAATCCTTCGGAAATGATGATGCCTTCAGTCTGCAGAGTTCCTGATCAGTGAATGAGTTGTGAAAGTAAATCCACACATAATTTCTCTCACTGGTCTCTCAAATTCTGCCTACAATTACTAAAACAGTTACATAGGCTACTTGATTGAAAAATTGCCTATATTATACTTTACAATTAAGAAGAGTTAATCTACATTAAGCTAAAAAAAACGTATAAGGGCTCATGATTTATTGTTTTGACCCTCTTCTGTAATATCAGCCCATTGAGAACGACTGCCATGACTCTGAGAGCTGCAGACACTAAGAGGTGATAATAAAACCACAAGTGATTAATTGTGGTATGAAATAGGGACTATTTAGGCGGCCATTAAAAAAAATGCAATCTGTGTTTGAGCTGAGTGAAATCCTCTGAGCAGGGGTCCTCATTATTTTTCATCCAGCCCAGTGTAGATGCACCTCACCCGCCAGCCATCTCCATGAATATGGGCTGTTTCCTCTTCTATAGGCTACTGTGTTTACTGCGGTTTTCGCCCTACATCCCGAAAAGCCGGTCCAGGCTAAATCTTACATGCATGGCTATTCGTGAGCCGGTTCAACGTCCCTGAATAGCCTTTATCAAAAAGGCCCCGTCCATTTTAAGACAGCTGGGGAATTACAGAAACAAGCCGACGGTGGCTGGGCGGCAGGTATTCAATGCGGAGCTGTAAAGTGGCACCATGTTCAGTATCCAGCAAAGTCTGAGCACAACAAACCCGCCTCCGTCTCTGTGCAGCGGCCTGGTTCAGTCGATTGTGCAGCCAGGCTACATTTGTACGTACATTTGTGATAGTGACAAATCCTCGGTTAGAAAAGAAACTCTTATTCACTGGAGACAGTAAAGGGATGCCAACATTTATCATTGTCCTGTCAGCATGGTCAGCGTCAGATCATCAATAGGCTAAATAGTCTTGTAGCGAAGCTGAGTTTTCTTTTTTTAAACATCCATGACTTCTTCGGGAGAGACAGAAACCATCAGCCAATATTGTTAACGAAGGTTGGTATGGAGGCAGTGCAGAATTACAGTAGGCTATCTCTGATCCGAGTGGACGAGATGAAATAAGGCGATGAAGAAATCCACTCCGGCTCCATGTTTCCTTTATGAATAGCTTGATACTCCGTCTTAATAATAATAGGCCCTAATAATAATAATACAATGCGGTTATTATAATATGGTGTTATAAAAAAAGGTTGTAAGTAGACTAGTATATCCAGTTATGCGTTATCCGCCCCCAAACAGCCTAAACAGCTTTATTGAAATACGTAAACAATTATGGTTTACTGTAACCTAACCTGGACAGCAACATCCACCGATCGTCGCATGGGCGTGTGGTTGCATCCGAGTTACGAGGCACCATCCAGGTCAGTAACCCAAATTTGGCGACTAAGTAGGCTAAAACGCTCTCGGGAGTCCCTGTCCGTGCTGATCAGCCAGCCGTCCGGAGGTCTGCCGTATTCACTCAGGCTTTATCTCCAAAAAAGACGTGACATTTCGAGGACCGAGCTGTCAGTCTGTGGGCTGACTTTGCATCCAAATACACCGGGGCGCCGTCCACATACGTCGGGACAAGTGCTTCCTCTGTCACTGATCCACAAGTCATAGGGATGGGTTGAGGCACGCAGAATGTGTGCGCACTTACGCCCATCACATGTGCGCAGATCTTCAGCTCAGCGTGCAGGACGGAGTGGGTGTGGGGAGAGGAGGGCGTCAGGGTTTGCTGGAAAGCTATACTATGGTGGTGGCGAGGCTCTGCTGTTGCACTGTGGGTAATGCAGTTCCTGAGGGATCTTCTGCCTGACCTACATCATTCTGGCAGCTCACGTAACTAAATAATTAGCAATGGGCTACAATCATAAGGAAAAGGCGTGCCATCTAAGATATAGTTACTTTATTCTGTACTACAGTGCATGGCTTTGTCTTTGAAGATGGTTATTTAGGCTATTTGGAAATTGTCTTACATTTATTCTCACAGGAAAATGCAGCTTTTTGTTTCCCTCCCAACAAGGTCAAGGGCCAAAGGTCAGCAAGATAACAACAGCCCTGTAGCTAACTGCAATTGGGTATGTTGCTCAAGGACACTTTTAGGCTCATGTAGTTGAAGACGAGTTCATCTAAGATTCTTCTTAAATGAAATGAGTATATGAGCTGGAGCTGACTTGTTTTTCTGTGAGCAGGATGTTAAACTGGACTGTATCTCAGTGCACAGCAACTTATAGTTACAGTGAGTTTTAAAATACTGGCTCTCAAACACAGTGCTATTTTTCAAGTTGGGACTTATGGAAAAAGAGTCTGAGAGCCAGGGCTTGCTTTTCGGCTGTGGCTTTCACTATTGTGATGTTTTAGTACAGTGGAAGGGGAATACAAATCACCTGGTTCATTAGAGTAAGACAGCTCAGTATGACTGTGTGTTCATGTTTATGGCTGCAGGTTTGTTGTTGTTTGGCAGACTGCATGATAAATTTTGAGTCCTGTATAACACTATGATGATCTGAGTGTAGCGCTTGGTAACTGTCAATCAGAATTAAGTTTGATACATAGCACACCCAGGTTAGGGGGTCAATTAGTGTCCTCTGGATGGGTTCCTCAGGGGCGTATTTTAGATACAAACATTTTGGCCATAAGCAAACATCATTATTTAACCTCTGTGCAGCACCATACCACGCAGAAAGACTGAACGAGATACTGATTTCTTTGCCACCCCAAAGCGAGTACTGCCCTCAGCTTGGCCACCTCTATGAAAAGTGCCTGGCTCTGCCACTGTGTGCACATTGAACACATTGAGCACAGACACATGTTGTTGTGAATTAAACACATGGTTTATTAAAACAAAGAAAACCTGAATTAGTTCTGTTTTATGATCTAAAATAATAATAATGTGGCCTAATGTGTAATGAATTTCATTGCATTTTAAAATAGAATCAATCAATGGCTTATTCAGAGGATATACAGGTGTAGTATTGACTCCTCTCAAACGTTAAGCTCTACTGACCTCTGGTGTATAACGAGTGAAACGCAAAGTAATTTAGTGGTAGCTTGCTATCCTATGTATTTTCTGAAATAAGCTGTGCTGGACAGTAACTGTAGTACAGTACAGTTACTCAAGTACTACACTTAATTCTAACTTTATTTACATTTAAGCTGCTTTATACTTCTACTCCCCTACATTTTAGAGGCAAATATTGAACTTTTTACTCACCTACATTTATCTGACAGCTTTACATTTCAGACTAAAATTTTACACTAAAAATATGAGTTTCTAAAAAATATATCTTGTATGATCTGATAACATCATATCTACAAATAAGATATACTTATAATAAAAAATAAAGAAAAATTAGAATGAAATACATCCTATATTATATACACATATTTTTTGGAGTTGAAAATACAACCTTTCTGGGATGATATACATTCTGTTCTGTGTGAGGTATTGGGATATGAAATCCCCCAGTCATTTCTTGTTTTGTACTTGGTACATGGAAGGATCTGTGCATGTTGGAGACCAGTACTTACTCCAGATTCTCCTCACCGCCGGAAAGAAGGCAGTCACAGAGTTATCTCAAGACTGAAGTACCAAATTACAAACAATGGATGACCACTGTGGAAGATGTCATAGTGATGGAGAATCTGAACTTAAGATTTAAAAGGAAGTAGGAGTGTTTTGAAAAAGGCTGGGAAAATGGTTGATCTGTAAATTAAGGAAGAAAGGTCATAAACAGTAATGTTGTCTAAATAGATTGTAGACCTGTTTCTCCCCATAGGCTCAGTTCATCTTATTGTATATTCTATACCATTCATTTTTCATCTACTTTTCTAAAAAGAAACAATAAAGACTGAAGTTGAAATATGATACGGTGGCATTCCAGTGAGGGCCAAGAGTCATTGTCTTGTCTAATTATAATATTGTTTCTTTTTCTACTTTTTATTGCTAAAACTTTTATAGTTTCTTATACTGTTTAATTGTTGAACGCAGGACTTTTACTTATACCCTGTAACAGTATTTTTACAGTGTAGTAAATGATCTAAATACTTCTTCCACCTCTGAAAATAGGGGCATTATTTGAGTACTTAATTCTCTAGGCCTTTTCATCCACAGTTTTTTGCCTCTGTAGTTATTTTTGTGTGTTTGTTTGTTTGGAGAAACCGCTTCCTCCAAAAGATCACCATTTCCTGCATTCTACTCTCAGTTCAGTACTACTTAGAGGACAGAGGGCTGAGGTGGAAGTGAAGTCATCCTTATCACTGGATCTCCCTCCTCCATCCTCTGGTTCAGAGGAAGATGCTTGGAACTTCAGAAATCAGGATACGTACAATGAACAAGTTGTCTCTGAAGACTGTCTGGCTCCATTGTTGCCGAAAACCACAGAAGAGATATATTTGCAGGAAATATACTTTTGGTTTGCTGAGAAGTTCACATTCTCAGTGACTCGTCCATAAATACAGGCAAGAGTACACTGCAATGTATAAAACATGACACAACAGTGTACAAATAATGCAATTCCATTAAAAGCACAAAAGTCAGGTCCATGTTTTAGACCTGCATCTTGCTCCTCCAGGCAGGATATCTCTTTACTCCATATGTGCAACTTTAATTACACAAAAAGGGAAAGAAAGAACACTGTGTTTTATTTTGTCACTACCTAACTAATTGTAGCATAATGCATGTTTTATTTTATTTTGTTTATTTAAGAAGGTCACCAGTGAACTTTATTCCTAAAGATGGTCTGATTAAATCTGACCAGTCAGGGTCAATACACCAATAAGACCTGCAAATTAGTTGCAAAGTAGTATTATTGACCTTTTTAAAATAAATAATAATAATGAATAAAATTTTTCTTCCATTTTGTATTCATGTATGCCTTGATATGATCATAACCAGATGACAAAAGCAGAAAATACACATTTGAAAAAAGATTCAAAGGGAATTTTATTGTGAATTTATTATAATTTTTTATTGAATTTGCATTTCTCTCATGGCCCACAGTGAAAGTGAGACAAAAAACAACAACAATAATTTACAAATTATTTACAAACTTTAGTGCAAAGATTAAGACCGCATTGGAAATTAAATGTACCAGTCATTTGACAACTTGTAGTCTTTTATTTGTCTTCTACTTTTTCATATTTACTTTTGCCCCTGATGTTTTCTGTTCTTTTCCCAAAACATGAAAGTGAAAATGATGATATTGAATGAATAAAAAACAAAAAACAGTGGTTTTAGTTATATGTCGGCATGTGATATTTAACTATTAACTAAGCCTTTTATTTTTCAACTAAACAGTTCTTAAACTTACCTAAATTAATTTGTGAAATACATACTGACATATCAGAGGACTGATTATGTTTAGCAACCACAAGGTTGTGCTGTTGACTAATTTGTGTGTCATGCATGATCAAAATGTGATCATGCAGCATCATAAATACACAGAATGCTCCTCTAGTGTTTACACTCAGATGAAGTTACCAGTGCCTTTAATATTAACAGTAAAACTCCGTCACATTTACGAGATGGTCATTAAAACTGTGTCTATGTGTGTGTCCACATTCCCAGCGGTAGTAGTAGTAGTGTGCTGCCCCCTGTGTGTTACTATCAGTAGGTTGCGCCAACCGGAGCTGCGCCTGCGCAGTGAGTGTGCGGGCGCAGCTCCGCCGTGGTTTCGGTTGAGCATTCTTGGCAACGTCGCGCTCGGGGAACAGGCAGTCTTACCGTTGGCCGACCAGCGTTTCCACAATGTCTGGAGAAATATTTTAACGGAGTAGAAGCAGCGCTAGGTAAGAAGTGTGCTCTTCTGGTTTTCTCTGAACAGTTTTGGTTGAACAGTGCGGGTTATTCAAAAGCGCTGAAAAGTGACGAGTGAACTAACAGCGTTAGCGAGGCACCGAGAGGCAGCCGAGCAACTTCAGTCAATGCAGAGAACGGGCTCCTTACTACGACTCAGCCGTTAGTCTGTGTACCGCCTACACCCGTTTACACCGGCTCAGTGCTTCACTTCGACCTCCGGCCATTCATCAGAGTAGATATGTAGCCTTAAATATGCCGCTACCCGCAAAATTGTATTAACTACAAAATATTCCACAACCTTCCTGATCGTTAAGGTTCCAGTGCGCATGCTCGTAATGATGTGCCGACTTCGGATTTGTAGTTTTTAGCACCTGAGTTAATCACGGTTGTGAGGGCCAAGAGAAAACGGTAAGACTACAAGTTCCAGACAATGGGAGCTTTGTTTGGGGGCAGCGCTAGCCAGCTACTTAGCCTGGACGAGCTTTGAATTTCGAGTAGTTGCGCTGCAATCGGAAGTTACCTTGGCTGGAGATTTGTTTCAGACTGAGCTGCATGGGAAATATTTTGGCGCACGTAACTTAGTGGTGCAGTAGTTGTAAATGCCGTAATAGGTTGTGCAACATATTTTAAATGTGATGATAAAATGAGGATCGGTTTTGCTCCTACTGTGGTTAGACATGCAGACTCTGATCAGCTGTCAACAGTGCGTAGTATGATGCCTCCCTTTAGTTGAGATCCCCCGTGCTGCTGCTGCTGTATTCCCCAGCCCTCAGGAAATGACACGTCGAGTATCAGGATGATGGATATGTCCTGCAAGAGCGGCAGAGCATGGCAGTACTGCACATATTCTGGGCATTATTCACTCTGGTTGCCTCCCATCTGGAACTAATGGAATAATTATTACTGGGGAAAATCTGAGAATGATGTTGAAGCGTCTTGCCCTGGTTATCCTACTGCATGCATACCAGCCTGTGCTTGAGCACAGCACTGTCCAGTATTTGCTGTGCAATGGGGAAGTCCTGCATTTCATCTTTGGTTTGAGAGGAAATCAAATGAAATGTGACGTTTATGCTGAATAATAATGACATGTTGTCTCCATATTGTAAATCCAGTTCCCTTTGATCACAGGCTATGTACCAGACTGCCGAAGTCGGTTATACAATGCTCTCTGTTTATAGTTTCCTTGAAGACATTTCCATCCTGTCAGTGGATGTTTGAAAATGTTACATAATAAAACAAAGCTAAGCAGACTTTCTGTTTACGGCTTGTGAACTTATCAGCCTGTGCAACCCCAATTTTGTTTCTTTTAACTGAAAGTCCCTCTGCGTGTTGAGTATGCAGTGTCTTTCTTAATGATAATGACACACCAATCATGAGAGAGCTCATAACCTTCACCGTTGTATTTGAGAGACACATTTACCTTCTATGCTCCTTTCCTGCCCTCTTTTTCGAACTCTCTCAAAAAATTCCATTAATTGGTTGTTGAAAGAAAACTGCCGTGAACAGGTAGTTCAGTATGAGTTATTACATCAGTGAGTTCAGCTGCATGTCCCTGCAAGCTGTTGTGATGGATATTTTGAAAATAACAGGCGCTTGTGACTTCGAAGAGATGAAGCAAACCTGCAGAAAGTAGCAGGATTTTCAGACTGTGATGTGGATACATTGGCGCAGTTTGAATCTATAGTTATGGCGTAACAGGGCCTTTCTCGCTTGTCATAGTATGACAAGGCACAAGTCCAACAATAAAGTAGCCCTTTATTGCTCCCAAATGAAATTATTGGCCACACTTGTTACAGTCCTGCTACAACCACAGATATTTTTTTCATTTTTGTAACCGAGCATTTGATTAGATTTAAATATAAATATAACAACAAATGTTTCAGAAAAAATTGCCTTTCCTAGCTTCAAAATGACAAAGTAAAAATGGTTACTGACAAAATGTTTCTTCTAAATATTCTTTGCGTTCTTCTTTTAAATTAATTTGTAAAGTTTAAAGCATCAAAAAACTAGCACAATCCATACCAGTGTTCGGTTATGGAGCATCAATGCTGAATTTAAGGGTAACAAACCCTTTGCCAAATGCCACATTGTTCTCCAGGTTGTACAGGGTCACGTAACTCAATTAAAGTCAATGCAAAACGTCTTAAAATCACTCTCCTTAACCCCATGCTATTGAAAGCAAAACGACAAACTCAAAGATGTATTTACAACATTTACAAACCGTTATTTTTGGTTAAGAAAAAATAAGTCACTGTGGAACTCAAAAATGTAAACATTTCAAAATCCGATTTCTTTGGTAAAACTTCACCTTTCCAAACTAAACTCGTCACTCGTCATCGCCACGTCGATGATATCTGCATAAGCATGTTTGTTTTGGTATTTTTACAACAATATCACATTATCCATGCTGATCTAGGCCCATTTCATAACTTTGGCTCCATGTAGTCGGCGTGTCGTTGTCTCTACTGGGTACCAGATAACAGTTGCTTACAGTCTGTGATCTTGAGGAACATCTCATATTTTGTGCTACTTATACCGGTGTTTCATTGCAAACAGCTGCAGGAACAAAGAACCCTGTCTTCAAAGAGAGATGAATGTGGGCCAGCTGAGTTACTTTGCCTGTAAACATTACGTTGAATCACGGTGTCCTATCTCGATAGAGGTGACTCATCATGATTTTTTCCCCGTTCCTTTATTCTCGACAATGATTTTAAATATCTCACACGCAGTCATGGTCATCTGTTCGGTGAACACTACATTTTTCCAAGTGCGTCTTTTTGAGATGTTTTTAAGGCAACAATGATTGTTTTGGCACCAGGTCTAGTTAAAGTTCTCTTTTCCCAGCCGCGACACTTTGGCAGCCCTCCTGGCATTTGTAATTTTAGAAGGAATTGCTAGATTTCTGTTTAATCCTTGGAGGTGTCTCTGCTAACTAAAGGTTAATAGAAAGAACAATTGTGGGTTCTCATGGTGTGCAGAAGAACACACTCAAGCACCTCAAATCACATCAATCACAAATGTTGGGTGTATCCTGATAGGTCACAGAGAGGGAGGATGAAACCTTACGCTACCTTATGCCATCTGGTCTATGTCAGAGTGCTCAGTGACGGCGTACGTGTGTTTTTAAGGGGGATGAATATTAACAGCATTGTCTTAAAAATTAGCTTCTAGAATTCAGCTCAGTGTCAGCTAACCTGCTACAAGCTATAGACATTCATTTGAAGTATATTTCAACCCCCCCCGTTTATTGCCGCCTCGTGCTGTTGGTTTATGCTCCTGACTACTGATGCAGGCTTAACCAATGTCGGTTAATCTGAATAGGTCACCACACCTCATCACACCTGGCATCACAGCCTCCTCCCAGCTGGGGTTGAGTGGAGATGGGAAATCAATTGACTGTGGTAAACTAGTGTTTCTATTTGCGCGCACAATTTATTTTAATGTTGCTATTAAATAGAAAATAATCTATAACAAGCAGACAAAAAAACTGCCCTCCGATCAGACCCAGGTGTGCTCCCGATACCTGCAGCAATATCTCCAAATAATAACGCCTACTTTGACACCGTAAATTAGTAACCAAACTCGCTTTGTCCATACAGCACATCTTGAATGCATACCCCGAATGATCTGAAAACAAACAAGGTAAGTTTATTAGTCCAGCACCTTTCACATTCAGGAAAGTCAAAGTAAGGCAAAGAAATGTGTTAGGACAACATATAAAAACACACCAAAAAATTAAATTATTTAAACTAGCATTAAATTAGGATAATTAATAATTATGATAAATAATGATTAAGATAATTTTACCCATTAACTTGTCTAACAAGAAAGACAGCAACAAGCGCGAACTGTGTGGGTGAGAGCCAGCATGGCTGTTGAGGGAAACTGAAAATGAAATTTTATTTGATAATTGTGTAACACTGTGTAGTTCTGTGTAATTCTGTCGTTTAGCTGTAAAGTGTGTGTCACTACAGGGGTGGGCTAGAGTCTATGTAAACAGTGAGATCCTCAAATAGCTGAAAAGAAAACTGTGCACACTAGAATGTATAAAAGTTGCGTCAGAGGGCAGCACTATCTGAATAAAATTGAAAACTCCTCCCAGCTGTCTAATATATACTTCCATAGATAGATATAGGTATATAGATGCCTGTCACAGTCGTGATGCTTGTTTAAACATGAATAAAAAATACCTGCTGTAAATGTGCGGGTGCAGCGGGTTTTTTGACTGATATTCTTACGATGGATCAAACATGAGTTGAATGTGCATTTAGTAAACCTGCGTCATTCACATGTATTAGTCAGAGTGCAGGTGCTCAGTTCTAGATGAAATAGCCCACCAACAGTATTGCAAGCCCGCCCTGCCCACTCTCTTTGATGTATTTGCCTCCCATGAGAGTCTTATCCATAAGTCAGCATACATGGGACTGTCAAGAGGTCAGAGATTTACAGAAAGACGAGTGTTTCTTGAAATGAGCCTCTGCTTTATGGCCTTCTGTGCAGCTATAAAACATTTTCTAGGTAGGCAGTTGATCTGTCAAGCCTGCCTCCTTTTTTCATCTGCTCCCTCAGAGGTCAGATTCCCTCAAGGTGGTGTTTACCAATCTGTGTTGTCTTCTCAGGGAGGAGGATGAATCAGAGAATCACAACCTGATGCGTAAATGTCCAAAATGTGCTTGCATTCAGGCTGTTAATGCCGACAGTGTGTGCTTCCTATCTTTTGCAGAGGTTAGGGTCTTCTCAGTTTGGATATAAGAGTAAATCTCCCAGGCTTAGCTTATCCTAGGTCCTCACTAGGCTATATCTTCTCGTGACTCCTCTCTGGTGCTGGGTATGTTTGACTGGGGTAAATATAGCCTGTTGGTTTTAGCTCGAGGATAAACACAGATGTGGAGGAGGCCTTTCTTGCCACAGGTCGGCCTGCGTCCTTCCCCCTGGTCAGCGCTAGTAGCAGAGGGAGCGAGTGAGAGGGAATGGCTAATCATCCAACCAC